AGCCTCTTAAATAACCTAATAGTGTTGATAGGGGCGTTCCTATATAACATACCATTTCACCTTTTCTTTCTCAAAAGACAGGTACCACTTTTTGATTGTGTAAAAATTATCTAGTCTTTTGAGTCTTTACAAGTTTTCTTTTGCGTGAGTCATACTAAGTACTTTGAAAAATAGGAAATGTTACTAAAAAAACAACAACATTTTGGCGCTTTAATTACTCTTTACAGCACAATATCAAATAATCGAAAACTGGCGTTTATTTTTCCCCACAGTGTGGCAGTTTTTTAAAGTTTTGTTTGTGCTTTTACGAAGTTTAGAACAGTTTTTACCAAAAGCTGCGATAACATAATTTGACTATTGTAATCCTAGAAACATACACAACTTCAGAGAAATCGAGCCTTCGGGCGAGCTCCTCGCGTTTCTGCTATAGCCTGGACATTTGGCGTCAGTTTTCTTTTTTTTCTGTTGGCCTCAACAGTCCTTGCAACCACAGAAACGTACAGAACATGACGATTGCTCGATATCTCAGATGTTAAGTTAAACCTACTATATTTCTTGAATCGTAATAACCAAATGTTGTCAAGTTTGGTTTTTTTTTCATATATAAACACAAACTTAAAGTGCATTATAAAAAACTAAACAAATGAAAGAAAAAATCCGCCACATGATCGGGGAAAAACATCCAAGTTTTCAATGAAAAAAAAAGTAGCATTGGTTGTGTGAATACAAATTAAATTAAAGATCCAACACTTTGTATTAATAATGTGACCTACTATTTTGAGCACTTTGTATTAATGACGTTTCTTTTGATCGCCTGTATATTTATGCCCATGTGTATATTTTTCTTTCTGAGTTTTTGGCTTGTGTCTTCATATTATTTTCAACTTCGTCTTTCGGAATTCGTGTGGCGATTAGGCGCTTCGCCGTTGCACCCATATCACATGAGTTCGATTTCCAAGTGGTGGAAGTTTTTGAAATAAGCATCCTGATTGTTCACTGTGTACCACCAAAGGTTGACCCTGACACTCTGGGGTGAAGCCTGCCTAATCATTGATTTAAAGTGTGTCGATGTGGACGGAAAAGACCAACTTTAAAAGGGACACTTTTTTGAGGGGGGGGGGGATTTGGTTCTTATCTCTCTTTCGTCCCCCCCCCTCTCTCTCCTTCGCTCCCTCTCCCCCAACCCTCTCTCTCTCTCTCTCTCTCTCTCTCTCTCTCTCTCTCTCTCTCTGCTTGCATCAATCTCTCTATGAGAGCATGTGTGCGAGCCCGTATGGGTAATATATTGCTTACAATAAAATTCCAAACCTTTCTATTTACACTTTCTCGAGATATAATATATACAATAATGACAGAATATAGCATAACACATTTAGGACTGCGTTAAACTTATTTATTATATTGTATGATTTAAATAAACACGCGCTAGGACTAGATAGTAAACATGAGGAAAGAATTGTAACTAACATCAAAATTATGTTTAAATATAATGCAATACAGCATGTGTTTAAAAAAAAAAAACCCAAGAAGAATCACATACAAAATACCTTGTGTATGATTACAATAATAATAATCAAATCCACACGTTAGAAGCCATAAAACATAGGTGAGGCAGCGTGGTGGAATCAGGCGCTCGTCAAAATAATCAAAGTGAAGAAACTTGCATTTTTCCCCAGCTTTGTGAATTTTAGTCAAATTTTTATTTCTTGGCTCAACACCTTTCATGCCCATTAAAAAACTAATTTCTGTGTGGATTTTTCTGAAAAACGTCATTTAAAGGCACAAAAAATGACAATTTTCTATTACCTCGGACTCTTAAGCTTAGGAAATAACTAATCTTTGGCGGCGATTTTGTCACTAATTTCACCCCTGAAAACAGGTAACCCAGCCTCCTTCATTCGCAAATATCTCGACTTGTATTCAAGATAAATGGATATTTTTTTCATCCAAATAAAGACAAGTGAACAAGCTTTTAGATGATAACGATAACTCTACATGCCCAAAAATTGACGAGAGCCTGATTCCACCACGCAGCTTCACAGTCTTAGAGAAAGAGACAACAATCAGATAAGTTACAATAACATTTTGAAATTCACTATGCATAGAGAAATGAACAACAAAAAGAGCAGTAGCAGATGACAAGTGTCAATAAAAGTTATTTGTAGTAGTGGGTAGTGGGTGGGTGCTCTGGTGTGGTTTGTTCCTTGAGCTTTCCTATCGTCCTTAACTCTCCTCCTAATTTTTTCCGTTACGTTTTGTAACTTGTAACACATCTAACTTTCAACACTTATATGATCTACTTGTGGAGGAAAGAAGGAACGTTAAACCACGTCAGAGCCCACACAAATCAACCACTGCATTGTTTTGAAAGCTGCCTAGACTGCTATGACAACGCAACCTAAGTAGTCCAAACCAACGCTCTTGTTCTGCTGAAAAAACAGGGTGTTAAAAAAAAACACCAAAAGAGTAACACCCTTTCTGTTCTCAAATAACTTGTTACAGGACGGGTGGAGTTTGTTACAATTTTGCCATTTTCTCTACCTCTCTCTTTCTGTACTCTCTCTCCCTCCCCCCTCTCTCTCTCTCTGTCTCTCTCTCTCTCACTTTCTCTCTGTCTCTCTCTGTCTCTCTCTCTTTCTCTCTCTCCCTCCCTCCCCTTCTCTTTCCCGCTCTCTCTTCCTCTCTACTCTCTACACCTGTCTCTATCTCCTATTTTCCTCTTGTCTCTCTCTATCTCGCGCTCCCTCTCTGTCTCTCTCTCTCTCTCTCTCTCTATCCCTCCCTCTCTCTGTCTCTGCTTGCTCCCACCCCTCTCTCTATCTCTCTCTCTCACTCTCTCTCTCTCTCTCTCTCACTCTCTTTCTTACTGCCCCTCTCTCTTTCTCCAATCCAAAGCTAATGGACCTACCAGGGAAAAGAGGCACAAACACTAAGTGAAATATTGCAGAACCCACAACGGGACAATAGCGTTACTAAAACACAGTATTGTGGCTCGCTGTCGGCTCAGGTGTTATCGTGTTGGCCTTTGAAGTATGGAGCAAAAGATCCCGAATCCAATCCCCCAAAAAGACGTTCTCAGATTGGATTGTTTTGGAGAGGGTTTTTTGTTTTTTTTTGGCTCTCTATCTTTCTGGCTTGGTCCTATCGGAAACGGACGTTACATTCGGAGGTCCCGCCTCTTAAACAGTTTTACAAAACTTGCAACTTTGTAGTAGATGTTAAACTTAATTTCTCTAACAAATTTTGGGGGTTTTTTTTGTTTAACCTAAAAAAAAAATAGTTATCTAAAACGTTTTTGAATTCATTATTTGTATTTATATATCTACTTATTCTTTTAGAGAGTTGGGGGCCGGGTTGAAAAGTTAATGGGCCTACCTGTGGATGTAGCACAAAGGTACGTCAAATAAGGCAGAATCCATTAGGAGGAACAATGACGTTCCCTAAATGGTTTTGGTACTGGCTTGATGCCAGTTATCGACAAGCATGTTTCTGTCTAAAGTCTGAACGACGTAACTGCAGTTTTATGAGTATGAGAAAACGCGAAAAACGCTTGCTGAGTATTATTGAGATCAGAAACTTATGAAGATGTATCACTTTGAAAACTCATGACGATAATCTAGGATGTTGGTGCAAAGTCCTGCCTGTCACAATAGAATGATATAAATAAGATATTAATAACAAATGGAACCCAAAACCTCAATTTTGTCACAAACGTTTATGTGCCCTTGGAAGCCAGAATGGTTTCGTTTCACTCAGGGGTTTAATACTCATAGTATAGTTTTGTTTTGTTTCTTTTTCCTTACATGTGCTACAAGAGATTTTAAATGGAGCCTGTAAGCCAATTAGAACAACAATTTCCCTGGATCTAAATGCAGGCATCAGGTCCTTTAAAGAGTAAAGGTCTACATCTCAAAGTATGGAAGAATTACATCTTGTTTAAATGAAGGCGTATTTTACGGCCTCATCGACATAAATTAGATTTCATAAGAGGTGACTTTATGACTGCTTGTCCGGACCAATCCAGGGTGACAATATTACAACTTCCCAGGTGACTTGACGAAATAATTATTATTCTGACTCAGGAATGGAACTCGAGTCTCCTGCGTTCTACAACGATGCCTGTAACTGCTACATCATAGACATCGATACAATTAGAACGAGAAGAAAACTTGGTGCTTGATAAATTGCAAAATAAGGAAATTGACAAAAGGGAGACCTTTGCTACACTGTTGCTCCTTTCACAGCCTTGAAAGCATTGACAGTTTTGTTTTGCACAATGCATTTTATTTAATTTGTTGACTTTTGTCATCAACTGCTAAGAGGGGTCCTAACACAAAGATTTCTGAGAAATATTTTTTGTAATATTTTTTTTTTCTTGGGGGCGGGGTGGGGGGGGGGGCGCTTTCTGACATGCCCCCGGGAACTTTTGTATCGGAAAAGTGTTTTTGTGAGATGAGTCCTCCTTTTTCTGGTTTTATCAAATTAATAGCAAAATTGCTTCTTCCTCCTGATTGTTTCAGAATTGAAATGGGTGGGGTTTTTCCAGCTTAATTTGTTTTTTTTTTATATTAGAGAAGCCTTTGGCCCACCTAGGAGGCGCCAACGGATAATAGCAATAATAATATAATAATAATAATAATAGATAGCATTTGTATAGCGCATATCCCCGCTCAACAGCAGGCTCTATGCGCTTTACACTATATTATTACCCCAGCAGACCATAGAACACTCCGAAACATTCTCAGCTTCCCGGGAAGCATACAGTGCGAGCAGCCGATTAAGCGCTCAAACACTAACAAACTGACAAGATCTTTCGCTGTCTATAGCCGGGTACCCATTCCCACCTGGGTGAAGTGAGGAAAATTCGTGTAAAGTGCCTTTCCCAAGGACACAACGTCGGGCCCTTGACGGGATTCGAACCCACGACCTTACGGTTACGAGTCCGAGAGCCTAACCACTAGGCCACCGACGTTATAATAACAATATACCAGTTGAAAGCGCATACCGCCACTAAAAAAACTAGTGTTTTACACTTTACAATCTAAACTATTATTACCTCAACAGGCCCAACAACACCTAAAATCCTTTTAGGTTTCCCCGGGCTTTCAATTTTCATTTCGTCAGGAATTTTTAAACACCTTAGCTTTACTCTTTTGCTACTGCTGATTGATCAAACAGTTCAGGAAATATATGTTACATGCCGCCCAGGCCAAAACATAAACTGTAAATAAAACAACATTGACATTTGTCAGATAAGGACGGAAACGCGAAAAACAGCTGGTATACTTACATGATTTAGCATTGGTAGTGGAAGAGAAGAGAGCACTTTTGTCAGTACATGATGCTTGGACATGTGTTGAGTTTTTTTCTTTCAAAAAACTATTTTGACTCATGAGCACATTTTCGCTTTTAAAGTTATTGCCAGGGGATTTAGAATTGGTGGTGATACAGAATAGATCCGTTTCAAGCATAATATTATTATTTGCTGGGTTCGATCCTAACTGGGTTAAGAACAAATTCTTCTTATTGAAGGAATCAGTTGGAGTAACAACATTTCTACCTCTAAATGCTTTCTTTACAATGATGTCATCAGCATTTTGTCCTTTAGTGGAATCAGTTTTGTCGTTCGAGTCGGACGGTGTGGTCAGAGTGTTGTCGGGTTGTGGGGAAAAACGGAGCTGCACCACTGTAGCAACGACGCAAGCACCATTCAAAATTAATAAGCTGAAAATGTAGAAAACGATGACGGGGAATGTGTCCGATCTTTGTGGAAGATGCTCTGTCACAGCCCCCATGAAGAGGGTTAGGGAGAGGAACATGGTGGTCGAGAAGGAAGCGCGCTCACCGCTGGTCTCCGGGAGAACGAACACAAGGGAGTTAAGCGCCGACATGAACACTATGGGGAATATCATGTTTATCACGAAGAATTTGGGTTTTCTTTCTAGATTGATGACCACCTCGAAAATCGAATACAAATCTGGATTAAGCGTTCTGATGGCTTGACGATGTTTAATATGAAGAACATCCCATTCTCCGTTTGTAGTATAGTTCTCATTCCTGCCCCCATCTTCATCTGCCAAGACGCATACCTCACGCTGAGAGTTATAAGACACGAACATTATCGCGCATTCCTGCTTGTCAAATGGGAAGTAAGTAAAGTCCATTCTGCAGGAGGTAGAGAAAATCGCCCCAGGTGACCAGTTGGACAGTCCGTCATTTCTGATAAAAGCAGGCATGTAATCATCATCAAAAACATCCCTTTTCGCTACAGAGTTTCCAATCAAGCTTCTTGGGCGCCACATATCCAGGGGGTTCGGTCGAAGGATGTAAATATTGCTGTAGTTTGCAGGGTTCCAAGTTCGAACCTCGTCAAACCACGTGAAGTTGACCCAACCATTCAAGTCCATCGTTTCGTCCACTTCATTGACGGCTAGTAGACTGATGATATGGAACTGCACGTAGACCGTGAGAGTGTGAGACTGGTTGAGTACAGGCCGGGCGCGAGAGTCATATTGTCCGGTGGTCATGTCTTTGTACAGACGAATGTAGTCGTCGTATGGTGACGTCATTGCCACTGGTGTTGGCAGCGATGACGTCAGCACCAGCAGAACAATGGTGGTAAAATACCGAAGTGCCATCCTTGGGAGCACACAGTAATTTGTGTCTGGTTTGAAAGCAGCTTTGAGATGAGAGAAGATATAATTTTTTATTTGATCTTGTTAAAGAGAAATTTGTTACGACATGCTAAACAAACACTCATCACACTCACCAGTCAAGACTCTCCCTTGTCCTTTCTCTCCCTCTCTCTTTTTCTCAGCCCTAATGACTTATTATTCCGATGTGTTTCTCCTATCTCAAACAACAACAACAACAACAACAACAACAACAACAAAAGCTATACTAAAATGAAATAAACACAAGTTTGAGCTAGACTTCCTAAAAATCTTAAAACGTTATACTTTCTTATCACTTCTTTCAATTAACATCACGGATGTATTCGTTCAAATCTAGGCAATAAGAACACTCACATGTATGAAAAGGTAACAGTGCAGATAACAAGCTTTTACACTTGGGAAAGCTAGCATTTCAGCAGTTGTATGATGCACAGAAAGAAGTTCACTGTTTGTGGTAAGGTTTTCATTAGAGAAAAGAATTCTATATTTCGTTATAAAGTATGATCCATTAAGAACGGATAAATGCAACGCATAACTTGTTAATACTATTAACTCAACACTATTAGCTCAACAGGAAAAGAGCACTACAAGAAGCGTGAAGAAAGCCCTTTACTTCTTAATGAAATATAATATTCAAAAGTAACTTACTTTTTTTTCGAGAGCGGGGTGGGAGGGGGGGGGGCTCTCGTGGCCTTGGCGTAAGGAGTTCGACTCTCATTTAACAGGTCCGTGGTTCAAAACCTGGCAACGGTAGATCATTTTTCTTCCATAAAATGTCCACCCTTTACCTCCTTTTCTGCTCTCTAGTCATGTCCTTTCATCTGTGTTCACCTCCATTCTCTACCCCTACCCTTAGTGAGCTCACAAATTTGTTTCTATTTTCTTTTACACGAAATGTAACTTCTTCCCACCCCACCCACAATGCTTTTCACTATTGAAAAGGCAATAATAGTTGAGGTACCGTACCCTTTGTCTTTTAAAATGGGATAAAAATTATAAACTGTATTGATGCACAAATGTAACAGACATTGTTAGTTTGTGTCGCTGGGTTCCTTAACCTACGACTACTACTAATAACGATAAAGCGTACTCTCACTGCTCCTCCCCTTAACCTATCATATTTGGCTTTCCTTCATCTCTGGCCGTAATCACCGCTCATTTTTTTTAAAATATAGAGATAGATCTATATGTATGTACATATAGGCAGCAGTAATAGTAATGAGATGAATGGGTTTAAAAATCATAAAATAAGTCTGATCGATTGGCTGATTGAATTCAATAAGCTTAGGTGTGTATGATTCGTATGAAAACAATATGCATGTAGAGACCGAGACTCTATGCAGTTGCGATCGCCGTAAAACCCTCTACTAAAAAAATAAAAGATACAGGTCTGTACAGCATTAATTATTGTGCACTCACACTCACAATGGAAAGCAATCTACTTATTAAATGAAGTTTTTTTTAATCAAAAATTTCTGTTATTCTGTAGGGGCGTTGTAAACCTTGACACAAAACACTGAAGAGAATGTATCCATAGTGAAGAAACTAGTTCAACAAGACCAGCGTATAACTGTTAAACAGCTTTCAAGTGGAACGAGAATCAGTGTAGGGTCAATTGGAACGATTCTTCAGGACCAGCTTAACATGAGTAAGATATCTGCGCGGTTGTTACTCCTCCTTTTGACAAGCGAGCAAAAAAAGCAGATGGTTGAGTCCTGCAAAACTCTCCTTTGAATTGAGTCCAATGACACAAATGTTTTAAAAAACGTGGTGACTATGGATGAAACATGGATTTATCATTTTCAACCAAAATAATAAAAAAATCCTCCTTGCAATGGAAAACCCCTTCTTCCCCCTCACCAAAGAAGTAAAGGTGACACCGTCAAGTGGAAAAGCCAAGCTGTCGTGTTTCTGGGATTGTGAAGGTATCATCATGACTGACTTCCTGGAAAATGGAAAAACAGTCACAGGAGAGTACTACTCGGGTTTTCTGATAAAATTGTGGTCCCTATTGGTGAGAAAAAGGCGCGAAAAACCCGTAATGGGATCCTCCTACTGCATGACAACGCCCATGCGCGCGAGGCACAACAAGCAGTCCAGACAGCAGAACAGCGCAGCTTTGAAACCATGCCACACCTCCTAGAATAACCCCAGACTTAGCCCCCTCCGACTTGTTTCTGTTTCCTTATCTTAAAAATCACTCAAAATACGTCGTTTACATGGCAACGAGGACGCCATTGAACCTGATAAGACTGGTTAGGTGGCAGAAGTGTGATACTCTGAATGGTGACTATGTAGAGAAATAAAAGTATGTGTGCCAAGTTACAAAGCTCTAACATTATTCATTCATATTTAGACCAAAGACTTCTTGAATCCCCCCCCCCCACTCGTATAACAGTAGGCTTCGGCCGCCATCCGAGCAAAATTGAGAGAAAAAAAATGCAAATGCTTAATGTGAGAACAACTAACGAGTGTCTCGCGCGTCATAATATGACTTTATGCAAATGTGAACGCAGTAAAACTGTTACTAAATCAAAACAAAAAATCAAATTTTTAATAAATAATTTACGTTTACAAAGTCAAACGTGAGAATAGAAATTCATTCACTCACGAGAACACAAAGTTCAGTACTGACGTTCAATCAACCTCGTTTGCTCGACAAAAAAAAAAAATGATTTCAAAACGTGTCCAAGTCGTAACTGAACAATATGCCAGAATAATAACAAAGTCATAAACATGCCATCAAGGTCTCTCCAGTTTTTGTTTGCTTTGTTGTTGTTGCTGTTGTTGTTGTAGTTGTTGTTGTTGTTATTGTTGTTTTTATTGTGTTTTTGTTGTTGCAGTTGTTGTTGTTGTTGTTAGCCTTTTTAAAAAAATAACCTGCAAGTATTGTGCCTGAGTATTTCTTTAAAATTCGCAAAAAGGCAAAGTTTCTAATAATTGACTTACTTGCTGTCCCTCCGGTCAGATTAGGGATGATCTTCCTCCGAAAAGACACATTCATAAACGATCCTTCTACACAAGATTTTGCGCTGAAGTGCTGATTTATAAAGATTGTTGGGTTGTTGTTTTTTTTCGAGTCTTCAGTAGCAAAGATATTTTACAAATTTGCATAAGTACACATTAAGCGTATATTTCATATCTTCAGTAACAAAGGTATTTTACTGAATTGCGCCAAAAATATCGATATCCCAGAAACATTTGAAAAACAAAGTTGGTTTTGGAAATAACTCAAATATTAACTACAAGTCGACAAGCCGCAGTACTTATAGACTGGTACCAGAGCCAGTTGAGAGCTGAAGGGAATCTTGTTTGACTGGAACGCAGCGGTGTGAGCCTGGGAGTGTGTGGTGAGGGTTAAAGTACATTTTGGTCTCCCTACTCCACATCCACGAATAAATAAATTATTGGAAGTGATTTGCTCACAGTTTTGCCACGTCTTACGAGAGAGAGAGAGAGAGAGAGAGAGAGAGAGAGAGGAA